ATTTTTTTACAAATATAGGGATTTTCTGTGCGCCTTATAGTCCGAAAAATACGGTACTCCGTATGTGTGCTAAATGAAAACATATATAAGACTCGATATTTATCAAAGTTTTAGAAAGCACTGCCTGGTTTTTGGTGGTAGTTACTAACACACCATTCGATTTTCAACCGAAAGATCATACGGCTTTTATAAACGGTGTATGATAACCAGTAAACCCAGCCACCAGTTGGTTTGATTATGATAGTTCGGGTCAGCTCGCTCATGAATTCAAACGCTGTATGTAAATGGACCGTTATGCCACAAGATTAATCTTTACCGTTTAGGTTCACCCTCATCGTTTGATGACAGTAACGAATCAAAATTCTTATGACCTAGGCTTCCATCTGCTTATGTACGTCTCCGAGCGAAATATTCCCCTCGAATTCAAGAGGACTTGATTGCGGTTTATCAAATAATGCAAAACCCTGTTCACCCATGTCGTTCATTTCTCCCTCCGCCACCTAATCCTCACTTCGAGGCCACGGATCAAAATGAGTGCTCCGAAACTGTGAACTAGATGGCAGGCGTCATTCATTTGCCCTCAGAGTGAGCAGTATTTGAAGTTCTCTACCAGCTCACTTTTTTTTCTGTCCCCACAATTGATTCTTTCAAGCACAAACTGGATGAATCATCAGGCTTTAAGTGACGAAATCGGTAGCAGTACACGAAAAAAAAGAAAATTTGTGACATTCCTTATCTCTCTGTAATCCTTTAATCGATCCATTTGTGTGAAAGACCCTATGGGACAAGAAAAGTAACCGCTTGTAAGAATTTCCCATGATAAAACGTTGACTTTGACGGTATAACCATAACCTTTTTCGCATCCGATCTCGCGTTCCTTCATCACAGGTGGTGTCGAAGTTACCGTTTCTTGTTCCGGTCTGACGGATGACATGATGCGTTACGCCACTGTTCTAGTTGATGGCTACACAGTTCCACGTCAAGATTGGTTTTTACAAGAAACCGGTCGTTCTGGTTTGTCAGAACTGCGCATCCACATGCCTGAACGCCCTACAGGACGATGCTGGATCGAGCTGGAAACCATGCATCACGGTCGTATCCGTTGTCCTCAGGAATTCCAATATACGGCTGCCTCGGCGCAAACAGAAGCTCCAGTCTCCAGTTTGTCTACAAGTACGTTTCCACACTGTTTTTTGTTTGTTCGACATTCCTATTTTGGCGCGCTCTAATTAGGTTAGTGAATGCTATTTGTGACAAGAAACAGCAATGGAGAATTCGAAAGCCTCCCAGTCTCTCTTTCAGTTTAAGGCATTCTAGGTAACAACAACTTGGGAGCAAGCAGTTCGGGTTTCTGCAACTGCTCATGCTTTGTCAGTGATTAAGTTCAATGAGCCACTAGGTGACTGAGACCAGAAAGTTTGGTTGCCCAATGAAGGGAATGTGATAAGTGAGAAAACCTAATGTGAATTATGTGTAAGGACTCGATTGAGGGTCTTAGCATTTCCACCAACAGGGCCGTACGTGCAGCATTGAGGTTGACTAGTTGGTGCAGTTTTTTCAGTAGGACAAATAATTCTGCTTCACATCAAAAGGGAGATGTGTTTTCTGAGTGTAATATCTGTTGCCGTATGCGGACGGTACATTCGCCCGAAATACGTTACTGTGTTTCAATGATGTTCTCAGCTTTTGTCCGTAAAATGTGTCACTATTATTTCGGAGATGAGTGTATATTGAAGAAGTAGCAATTGAAAACAGAACCAAATTTTCAGTTATGCACCCTGGAACTTACGGTTGTGGAGGCTCAAGAGGGGAAAGAAGTAGGATTAGAAGCGGTTCAATGGTGAATAGTTGCGCAAACAGCGTTGTTAGGGAATGAGATGTAAAAAAGAAATACTTGGACGACTTAAGGTGGGTGTGGTTTGTGGTGGACTGAAGATTGATTTTTGATAAAAGTAGCGACGGATGAAGTGAATTCAAGAAGTCACATGTGCAGAATGAAGCTTACGGTTCAAACTGCGAATGTTGGCGAGTGTAATTTCCGAGTTACACTCTTGTTTTCCGTAGTGAGGTGAGAGGGATAAGGGTTATTCTGGTCCTGGAAGTCACCTTAGAATCCGATGGTTAGGCGGTGATTGTGCCCTCCACCACCGTAACTGTGTTTTTTGCTGCCCCATTTAGTCGATCAATGGAAAGGGTTTAAATAGAAGAGTAGAGAGCGAGAAACGAAAATCTAGATACAGAAAGCAAACAAATCACAGATCTTCATAGAAAGTGGATAGATGAACGAGCACCACTGCATGTAACACTCAGCCATATTATTGAGTGTCTAACCATTATTAATCACGCGGTCCACAATGCAATGGTTTTCTTGGTGGTCAAGTTTTCTGTCGTTCGCCAACATGCTGGGTCTAACTGCCACGTTCAGGGTTAATTGAAACGTTAATGGTTATCCAAGGGTCCCATTGCTTTAGTTGTAATCCAGATCATCCAACCGGTTGTGTATTTCCACTGTCCTATTGAGACATTGTACTTGACGGGTCTTGTGCTCACACACTATGAAACGCGTCTGCATCAGCTCTATGTTTACTCAATGTATGAATAGGCTGTTCAGTAAAACGATTGCAACTACAGATGCTCCAGTAAATAATTGTAACTTTGTTCCTGTGTGTGTGTCTTTGCATGCGTGCGCGTAAGGATATTCACGACTGCGAGGTGCTACGTGTTGCTGGTTTGTCTTCACTTTCGAATGAGCAGCCCTTCGTTACACAAAAAGACAAACGGGCGCTCACACGGGCATGTGATTTGCGCCACACGACTAATGTGTTGTGTTACTTGGTTACATGCATCGCGTCATTTCTGCGGGCCGGAAATAGTGTTTTCTGTCAGATCATGTTATGCAAAAAATAGAACACAACGAAGTGAAATACACTGTAATAAAGTTTTTGGGACGAGATCACCTGCGTCACCTCACTTTCAACTATCAATCTGTCATCGTTGGATTTCGGTTCCGTAAACCAAATGGATAAGAGCTAGTGTGAGTAGAACACCATCCGTCAGTAAAATGAATGTTCCAACACACTTGTTTTGTCTCATTTCTGTGTCTCGAGACGGGAATCTATGCCCACATCTAATGTGGTTGATTAAAACCCCTACCACATCGAATTGATTTTAACCAGTCGAGCTAGTGCATCTGAAGATGACTGTAAGGATAAGCGATTGCGATACGGAGTTCGGTGGACGGATACATGAGGATGCCATAACAATCATTATCATTCGCCTATAGGACACAGTGAAGAGAAGTGGAATCGATAAAAATCTCAGAATGTGAACTTCTCATCTCTACGTCAGTCATACGAATGGTATTCAATCTGAAGGTGTGAAGGTGTGATCACTAGTTAAAGTATAGGGTGTTTGGTCCTGTTGGAATGAGACATCTGGGAGCACGAACTGTTTATGGGATGGAATTTATAAGTGTGCGTTGTTTTCTAAAGCATTCCACGGTCGAAAGAAAATCTGCGTTTGTAATGACCGATAAAGAGCACTAGAAAGCAGTTTCCTCCGAGTCGGAATTCACCAGCAGTTTGTCTCCAAATAGACTCGAACAACGAAACTTCGAGATGAGTCAAAATTCCTTCCCCGTGAGCCACATGTTTGATGGCCAACGCGTTGAACACATTTTTACAATCTTCCATGCAACCCCCTAGAACCTCTTCTCTTCTAGNGGTCTCATTCCTCGGGATTTCGTTTATCAGACTATGATCTGGATTACACCTGCGAACTCAACTCAGGTTTGGTTACGTAGGTTCTATTAGACTGCCCTAGTGGCCCTTTCGGGTGGGCCTAAATGGTGCTGAGTGAAAGTAGATGGTATTGTAATGCGACCGTATTCCGGGCTCTTGCAGCGCAACGGAGTGAAAAGATGCGCGACAGGATGTCCCTCGGCTCATATTCTTGGAGCTGGAGACAATACGAGGCTTTGCCGGCGGGGATCGGTAGTGGGGCTGCGGGCACGGGTCGGCGAGGAAACCCCGACAGACAGGGCCCCCGTGAGTGGGGGTTGAAGTTAAACTTGCATGGAAANTGGAAAAGCAAACAAAACGCCATGAACCGAAAAGATCCAGTAAGATACAAACACTCACGACAAAATATTTCTGGCGCGGTTGCCAAGCGTTACAATATAAATTTTTTGTCGGGAACAGTGGCGCTTAGTGACAAACATGATCAGGACACATTTTTTTAACTACTGAGGTAAAATCCTCTGCTGAAAGCAAGCATTGACTGATGAAGGCTTACTATTAGTGGTCCATGGCTTGACTGAACTTATGTTACCTTATGTACCTTGTAAAGTTTTGTCGTTCTTTTGTTGCCGCATCGTTTGTAACATATCACCAAGTTCACATTGATTAGGAATGGAACGGGTCCTTCGGAACTGAACCCGAAATTTATTTCGAGTAAAAAAATATTCATCGCTATGAAGTTTAAATCTGTCTCATTGTGTGGGGTTGAGCTCGTTCAATTGAGGCGCTCTCTCGACGCTGGAGTGCATAGTCAGAATGCTTCTCGTTGTACAATGGTGTTTGCCCGCAATAGTCTAACGGCTCAATTTTTTTCTTGCTCAGCAACGGTGATTGACCCGGAACCCCTTTGATCAGAGCATGCACGGATCTTGAAAAATAATTCTTTCCCGTTCATACCCTGTTTCCTTTTGGTGCTTCAGATACCACCAGCCCGATGATGTTTATTTTTCCACTAGGCATGTTAATTTGTTTTTTTTGATCGGCACGCCTGTGTGTTTGCGCGTGAACGTTTCCTTGGCCAAGTTTCTCGTAATCGATGCCTGCACACAATCTATCTAANTAATGCCGAAACTAACAGCATGCAATAAATCAATCGTAACTAACAATCGCAAAGTGCCCCTGAATTAAGACAAATGGCCATAACCTTAAAGTTTATTTCGCAGTTATCATAAAACCACTGTTCGCCAACTCCTAACCAATCTAATGGAATGTCTTTATGAAGGAAGTTTCATCTTTCGGGATCTTCTTAAACGATAGCTTGTTATGAACTAAATCTGTTGCTTCTAATTAGCCTTGGTCTCAGTCAATTGTGCTCATTCGGATGTCTTGGATTGTCGGTGATTGATCTTTTGATCAATTTACTCTCGTCCATTGGCTGATTATGTTCTGTAATCTAAACCAAAAATCCTACTTCTATATTTTCCTATTTTTTTTACTCATTTTTATGGAATATGTCATGATAGAAATACATTTTATGAAGGAAAAAGCGGTCAATCAAAGGGCTGCCATTACGAAACACAGCAAATGAGGAAGTTAGGCGTCCGGGATGAGATTCTAACGCATGAATTCCCGGGCGGTAAGTTAGTGGCCTCGATCGCTTGACACAAACTACATGATCGCCCGTTCCGCTCAGTTTCCTTCGCTGTATTGTTGCTTTACCTCCATTTTTTTCATTGGGGATGGGTTACCTGTAGTGGCTCATATCCCATAGAGGCCGCAACTATTCTACTTTTGTCTGGTGTTGATCGTCCGATGTACAAAATGTGCTCTTGGTTCCTCCGGATAGGATATATCAACTCATGAATATGTCTGCTACGGAGCCAAGTGCTGTCACAAAACAGGTACTCTCCCTCAAACTATTAGACAGCCAGGCCGAGTACGGCAGGTTGATTGACAATGTGCTGGGTCAGTACGTGCCTTCGAATTCTGATACAGCACGCGTACTTTTCATTTATAAATTAACAAAAACGGAAAATTGCCTTTCGCAATAAATGGTATTCCGTGGAACACTGGACCACTGAACATGTACAGAAACGAATGCGAATTCGGAACACAAAATGGAGATAGAGAGAGAAAGAAAGAATTTGGAAAAACACAAAGGACAGTTTTGGGCTCCTTGAGAAATAATGGAACGTGTTCACTTTTTATTTTTGAAATGCCACTCGCGGTAAGCTTTGGAGTAAAGCAACTGAGAATGGTGTGATACACACTAACCCATTTCAGGGCAAAAATCTGATTTTCAACATCTTGAACAGGTATACCGTACTTTCATATTATGAGCGGTATTCAGACCCCTTGGAGACTTAGAGCAAAAGGATGGAGATTACAGCACTGGCTGCAATATTGAATTGTTCTTTTGGGAAATTGACCTTCCACACTGCATATTTAAGTTGCCTAATGTGTCTCTGCTGAAGTGGGGTACACCAATTGCCCACGGAGCGCTCTTAATCACCGGCGTTTAGGTGTATGTATCTCGCTCAAAATAATAATAATAATAAAAAAATAAAATGAAATGAGATTGATAATAAATCAAATAAAAGTATTGTATGAAATCTTAAAGTTCAGATCGGAATTGGTAAAAGTGTTAAACCGGACTTGAGATGTGCAATGTTTTCCGTGCCTTTAGGGTAATATGTTCTGGTTTCCTACGTGTGACACACATCCGGATATGATGATGATGATGTACTTTCTGACTGTTTGCTCGCATTGTCGGAATGCTAGTTCAAACATTATTTGAGCCAATAAGATATTCGTACCAGAATTTTGCTAGACTTCTAATTGGAGAGTTAGGCGCTATCTCAACCTCCGTTGTAATATCTTAGACTTAATAGGGTACCGAGTGAGTATGATCAGATCACAGGTACTCGTCTCCTAATTCCTATGTTCCAGTAGTTAACTGCTTTCATCCTTGGCTTTACCTCCCTTAACAGCGTGGTTCATTCAAGGCATTGGTTTTTATTTAGGTAACTCATCTTTTTTTAAGTGGGATTTTTTATGAAACACTTTGTGTGATAAGCAACAGACGGAGTAAACGCCATAGTCACGACGACCTTCTGCTCAGTGATGGAAACCGGTAACCTAAGCCTAAGGACTTGGAGTGGTGAACCACATAAGGCCCCTATAGGTTAGGTGCGGTATAGAACTGGACGACAATAAAGCTGCCTACCACCAAAGTTGAGTGACGGTTGCGGGTTTTAAACCTCGGATAATAAGGTCCAAACCGGGCCGGTGACAGCAACTAAACCACTGGTCCACCACCACTCGATGGGATGGTTTCACATACCAATCGATCCTATTCCACGCCTACCTCATCGGGAACTGTGTTCGGTTCCTCACCTGCACGTCCAGGACACAGGTTGTCCGATTCCATAGATGAAGTCGGCTTATCCATGGGGTTAAGTTCGTCTACTGTTCATCACACCAAAAATGAAATATCTTCCACATCACTACAATCCAGACCATTTCTATTTGGCCTTCCGTGGATTGAGGTTTCTGACATACATCCCGTATTAATTTTACACACTGATGATGCTGTGGAAGGAGCATTGAATACCACCTACATGGTTCTATTCCCCACTTAATCATACCGCATAACCTAGGGGAGCCTAGTTTAATTCATCTACCCCGAAGTTTCGGGGCTTAAATGGCCACTTTCCATGACTAAACAATAGGTCCTTGCGATTATACTGTTCATCACACAAAAGTGCGTCATAAAACAAAATTATACAAACCGGAAAAAGTACCCGTTTGTGTTCGCCCATCCCTGAAATGCTTAAGACAGTGTGTCTGCTCGGATGAAAAATATTTCCGTAAATTGGTCGTCTTGCTGTTTGCCATCGTCACACTACAGTTTTACATTTTGACAACACATCATTATCGGCGGCATGCAGTCAGAATGACTGTCTTAGTTCTGACAGTTAATATCCTTATACTTAAACTATTCAAACACAAACAATTCAGATTGTGGACGTGGTTGTTTTCCAAAACCTTGCAGCAGATTTGTCTTACTGTAGGATTAGGAATCGAACTACTATCCTCTCATGTACTCAGAATCTCAGTACGTACAATCTAATCACCACCGTGTAGCCGAAGAGCAATCTGTGATTGAATTTCACTATTTTTCGTTTGGTTTTGGGAATAACAATTGTTCTGAACTACTAATAGTTTCTAAATCGTTGTTTTCTCATCCAGCATGTCTATCCTCTGGATTTATTGATCTGATTCCCCTAGGAAAGTTAATTTTTTCCATTAGAAAATCACTTCTGATTCTAAGGACGCAGCTAACGCAAGGAAGTGTTTATGCCGTTTTTCACTCTTTCGTTCTCCCGGAAGTCGTAGCGTCGATGCGTCATCATGCATTTTTATTAATTAGTTGGTGGTCACAATCTTGTACAGCTTTCAATGTTCCAAGGTTCTGGTCATCAATAGCTTTTAGTCAGTTGAGAACTTCATCACGAAATTCAAAATTATTTGCGGCAATTTTGACAGGATGACAACAAATGTATTTTTCTCAGACAATTTGAGTTTTGGTATTATTTTTGAATACCTACTTCAATGTGATGCACAACTGAACCCTGTTGTTGCAAAGATGTGCGATTTTTTTGATGAGGGGGGGGAGGGTTAGTCTAGCACTTGGGATAAACAGGCGTACACGTCATCCAAACTACCATGCACTGTCATCCTGTTCGCATCGGAACTCACAAAATTTATCAGCAAATTGAGGTAACCATTTGAAACCGTTTATGCTTTAATCGATGCAGCTGGAATCGGGAAGTTGAATGGTCGATTTCTATCGTGTGAGAGAAAGAGTATGTATGCATACAGATATCAACCAGTACATACCAGAGTTCTTGTGGCGACATTAGTTTGCTCTTGAAGACAGGATTATCGACCAAGGTTATCGCATTTCTCAATCAAATGAATCCGACGGAGCTAATATTTCAGTAAAACATGTCTGCCAGTGTACAATAATATGTGCGTGCTGTGCCTTGGGTGTGATCGAGGGCTTCTTCACATTCGCTTTGATTGTGCTTTTTTGAAAGTTGATTTCTTTTTCCCGTCACTCTGACTAACGAGCTTTTAACACGATGCTTGTGCACTCTTTTTTCTGCCCCTTCTGTCTTTCTCGCAACATCTGATCCGATGTCCTTCACTCCCGGTCGGAATCGGTTACACCTCACATCACCGATCCATCTGCAGCGGAGGCTAACGCGCCATCAACTGAGGGTCAGCAACGCCCACTGAGTCGAATGGGGTCACAGCGAAGCAGTTTGCTGGTTCGTGATCGACGTAGTGTGCGTCGCACACGGCCACCGACTGCCGAAACCGCCCTCACAGAGACAAATGTTGAGGCGGAAGCAAGTAGGTCACCTTCGGATGAAATAACAATGACGAAATCATCAACTCCGGTTACAGCGAACGCATCGATCACGTCGGAATCCAAATCTGATGCCCCGACACCATTTATCCGACGCGGGTCCAATCGCAGTTCTTTATCTGTGGTTGATCGACGTAGTACTCGACGGCTTAATCCAACTAATAAACCAATCTTACCAAACAAAGATTCGATAGGTTTGACAGAATCGGATAAAGTTCAGTCACACTCTCCTGTGATGGACAAGCCTGCTACGAATGGTTTTTCAACCTCTTCTCCGTACGATCCTACGGAAGATGTTGATAGTGGCTCAGCTACACTTACGCGTTCCGGTTCGCAGCGAAGCAGTCTACGCGTATCTGATCGCCGCAGTCAGCGTCATAGTAGGGAACAGCGGGCACAATTGTTGAGCAAACTGCAAGATGGAGAGATAACAAAATCGTCCGAGCCTGAACCCAGCAAACCTACCGTAACTGTGATGCATTCCGAGCCGGAAGCCAGTTTGTCTGTCCCTGATTCTTTTGTCAGTAAACAGCTAACTCCAGTCTTCGAAGACCCCGAGACTCCAAACACTCCGAAACAATTCTCGATGCAATACGAGATGGATACGTCGGATAGTACCAAACCTATACCGTATACAGCCGATTCAGAAATCACCACTCAAATTCCTTTTATGCGAACAAAGCGCGTACTTCCGAACACGGACGTGCACGGTGATGTGCCTGCAGAGAAACAAGCTCGTGAGGAGGAGATGTCTTTATGTGCAGGAAACTCTCCTAGTGGAGAACAGAATGAGGTGTTCCCGTCGCTTAATGCACCGAAGAGTGCATCTAATCCACATCAGAATAGCATTGACTCTCCGAAAACGGAGTTTGATCAGGTTCCTCAGCCACAAGTTTCCGCGACCTTCTTGGCTTCTGGAATGAGTCATGCAAGTGACAACTTAGACTCTGCAAATCATACGCCAACCAATATTGAAAGTGAGTCGTTCCCGTGGAATTCTCCGGAGTTGAAATCAACGCGAAATCAGGACATGCCAATCACTGAAAATTATCGTGATGTAAAGCCACCTGAATCATTCCAGCAGTCAAATAAAACTGATCTCACGGAATCTAATCCGATCGCGGCACATTTTCCGACCTGTTCTCCCCACGGATCCACTTTAAACGGCTACCAGATCGATCCACGTAGTTCAACTAAATCAGAAAGCCTGTTCAGTTTGAACTCCCTTGAGCAGGGTCCCAAACCGATCGCGTCCAAATCACCTTCGTTGATTCGAGCCAGTCATTCGCACGAATCTGAAATGCAGTCCGACTCAACACCACCTCATTCGGACGATGAGATTCCGTTTGACATGGAACGTTCTCAGCCGGACGACGAGGATGATGCAGCGGAAATGGAGGAGCTATCAGATGAGGAAGTGGACCAGGAAGTGGAGGAGGAAGTACACGAAATGATGGAACGTGCGAGTCCAGGCTTTCAAACATGTTCGTCACTTGAGTGTGCACGTTTCGCTGTCTGTTTCCGCATTTCTATGTCTGTTCACATGTGTGTGTGCGTGTGTGTGTATGTTCACCCGCTTGGCTGGTATCCGCACTTGTCTCGTCCTTCACTTGGCCGTGTGTGCGTCTTTTCCTCATAGGTGTGTCTCTGTAGCTTGGGGTAATAATTATTGCTTTCTCGCAAACAGCTTTAATTCACAGCCGTAGTGTCCTACACTCCGCATTCCATTTTTCGCATGTTACTGGCAATAAGTTCGATCTATGCACATTCCACATTTAAGGTGGAAATGCCATAGTATCGTGGGTTTTTATATGTATACACATGTGTCTATATCCACCTGTCTTTCAATCGCACGTCTGACACATCCGTCGACAAAAAAGTGAGGTTATTGTATCGACCGCGGTCTGAAACGTTTTTTTCTTTGCGAACTCATAAGTTTTGCTCGGCAGAAATGTAATTGTCTTACTTGAATCTGCTGAATGCAACCTTCCTATAGTGCCACTACTCCGTGTGCTGCTGCTTGCGTGCATGCGAATGTGATCGGGTTTTCTTGCGTTATCTTTGTATTTGTTTATTAGTCGTGAATAGAAAATGGGGTGATTGGTGACGAGGGCCTTTCTTTATTACACACCCAAGTATGATGAACAGCAGATGGGGTAAATCCCATAGTCACGAGGATCTGCTGTTCATTGGTGCAAACCGGTAACCTAAGCCCCGAGACTTGAAGTGACGAACCACATAAGGCCCCGATGGGTTAGGCGTGGTATTAAACTGGACGCCAGCAGAGCTGCCTACCACCAAAGTCGGATGGCGGTGGAGGGGCTCGAACCTCGGAACACGGTCCAAAGCACGCCGGTGAAAGCGACTAAACCACTACTCCACCACCACCCTACTAAGCCTGACAACCTAAGTTCTGGTGCTTTCAGTGCCAAATCACTTTGACCCCATACTAGGATAGATATAGTATTGACCAAGTCGATAGGAGAGCTCTCTATTTTTAATATACGGGTGACTTTACTAGGTTTCGAATCGCAGACTGTATGTCTCTAGGTACGCAATGGACAATCCCTTAAAACATCTTATTCACTAATGACAGCGAATCGAATGTCCTTGATTATTTCCACGTCTACACTGGGAACCCAAGCATTAATGAAAGTACAAGGTGTCTAAGAACAAAACCTGCTCGGGTGAAGGATAAGATAAAACAGGGGGTCTATCGTGAGATTAGATCGTTAGATTAAACTCGCATGAACGAAGTTCCTCACGCATATCCTTGTGTTCCTTCTTTAATCTCTGTTACCTATGACAGTATTAGTTAGGACTGAATCAGTAAGGTGTTCGTGTCTGTCAGATGGGATTTCTCACTCGATTGTCACAGCTGGGCGTTCCCATCCTGTAGAGGTCAGGCTCACCCTCGATCAGTATTCCGATTTATGTTTATATTCATGTTGAGCGCATGTAAATTGTATCTAGTTTCTCTCATTCATGCTGATGTGCCTATGCACATGTTTTGTTTGTCACATGACTGATGTTTGTTGCACCATTTTAATGCATTAACCTGCGTGATACCTGCTCACATACACTCATTCATACGCACATGACTTACCCGCAGTCAGTTGACCATAGTTACAATTTTGTCTTCCGCACCATCCGTCTTATTCACCTTCACACGTATTGTGCCTGAATGCAGAACGACTGCTCTGCCTGTTTTGACAGTAAATATATTCAAGACACAGGTTACATATCCGAATAGTCTCATCCGCCTTGCAGTTCAGCCGAGCCGAGACACCCAGGTATTTATAGGGCAGATCAACTCTATGGTGACATAATCTTAGACTTCGTTCGCTCTTGCGTTAGTCCAGTTGTTTTTGCTCGCTCGTACGCGCCAGCACTTGTGCGTTTGTACCCGTGTGTGTGTGCGTGCGTGTGTGTGTGTTGATCTGTGCCTTACAAAACGCACCATCTATAGCGCCATTTTTACATTCAACGGTTTACTGTGTCAAGCGGTTGTTTAGTTTCTGGTAGGTCATTCGACTGTTTCACCGTTGCTTCATTTTCTTATTGGTAATGAGTCAATTTATCCATGTCTGTCACCTGTCCACGCCAACCATCGATCACATTCAACAATGTGACCCGGAAAGGATTCTTTGTCAGCCGGAGAAGNGATATCTACATCAAAAGACTCAAATTTAAATTCGGAATCTATCATCGAAATTGCTGTTCAATGATCGTTCATGTTTGTTCTGTCAAAGTGCACGGATTGTGCTCTTGTGAGATGAAAATTATTGTGTTCATTAGCATTCAAATACTACATCAGCGGAATTCTGACATTGCAAGTCAATTGTCAAATAGTCCATACGTAGTTGTGTAGACCATTTTGGATGACAGTGTTGTAGCCTTTCATCATACGAAAAAGAACAATACGTGCATTGGAACGTCTGTTAGATTGCCGGCAGGTGTGGTTCGACGGAACATGAATCAAGTTGAGTACATCAAACCTCCAGAAGCAGTTGTTATTTGCTGTGTACAGGATCGTGACTTTTATCTCAAAATCGATCACACATGACAAATGGATGTTTGTGCTCACGGATTGATTAACTGCAATCGATTGATCCCGTCTTTTTAAGTTGAGCCACCCGACGTCGCGGATGGATCGTGCTCTGTTATGGTTGACTTGTTTTGAACAACGACCGGATCAGTTGAAGCGCACGCATGTTCACCTCCGTGTTCCACGAGTTATATGTTTGTTATGGGTGCTTGAAGAATAAATTGGGATTGCAGAGTGGTGCATGGTTCGAAACTACTGATTGTGTTTCTCATGTGACTTTGCAACTCAATAATAATGTCTGTACAATTGACGTTTCCACGGCTGTCGGCTTGTCGTGGCGTCTCCCTCCCCATGATACTATTTACAGAAAATAATCAGCCATTATGCCAATTCGAGGAATCACATGAAATGACTTTTCAAGAAAACTGGGCAGCATGAATTCATATTGGATTCGTGGTTCGTGTCATTATACGAGAACCTCAGAGACATCTTTATCATACGATGAGCACTGAAGGTGTCACCTCGGTTGGCGATAAAACGTTTACCGACAAAGTGGCGAACTCCACGAACGGATCAAAATTGATTGCTTCAATTCGAGTTGCGAGAACCAATTTTCAATACTTTTTCAACCTTAGACACATCAGTAGTACGGCACGCGCAACAGCTATTCATCTTGCTTTCGATTCATGTGCAGTGGTGTTGTGTAGTTTATTCCTTGGATTTTACCTAGCCTGCAAGAGGTGAATAATTCGAAACAGTGAATTTAGACTGGGAAGACTTAGAACCACTTTCAGTCTATGGTAATCATTCTTCAAAGAAGAAGAACACACGGTCTTCCATCTCAACACACCACATCAACGAAACGGTTCTTTGTTTTATCTTCCGGAAGAAGCACTGTCTTTTTGCGTCCACTTGTGTATTGAGACCACACACACACATGACTTGTGAGCGCTGTTCAGATTAGAATGTCGAGTGATCAGAAGTTGGATAACTGTTGATACCGTCGCTCACACTTCTGATGAGGGCTTCAACCGAAAACTCTAGCATATTGGTTATTCAAGTATCTGTTGAAATTTCAGCACCAAAGATGAGAGTAATGTTTGCATACTGTTGCTCTGCGCACCGCCAAGCCTGATTAGTTTTGAATTTGTCGATAAAAATAGCAATATAGTTCAGTTTGGTTTGAAAATGGCCAAACAGAGGTTCAAGCCCGCGTGCCCTCACAGCGATGTGTTCTTGGCTTCTAACAGCGAACAAATTCTGTTTACCATATGAAAATACTGAATGAGGCAGATACTGAATATCGATGTATCATGTTGATGAAGATCATACCACTGACGGATGGAAAGGATCGCGAACGTCGATAGTTTTCACTTTCTCCAGACCTTTAAACACACTGGAGATACTTCTGATTTGAAAAGAGCTGTTGACAACTGATACTGCAAAAATCTCCAGACATCCTTTGATTTTTTCATGTTGGATTTTTGAGCTCCGTGTTCGTTTCTTTAGCTACCAATGCACAACTTTTCTCAACCCAATCTGAGTACTATGCTCATGCGCTATTTCAATCTTTCACGTCCCTGCTACTCCGATCCTCATCGATTGAGGCAAAATACACACGGCCCAATGCCGATGCTCAAACTGATTTGCATCATACCGTAGCCAGCACACGGACCATATATTTTTAAACCTTAGTGATCTCAGTTTGGTTGTACGTGAAAGCGTTGGTTGCATTGATGCCTTGTTTTTGAGAATGAGTTTTTCCACATGTCCTTTTAATTCATTGCTTGCCTTAGTAAATCGGGATCGATTCCAGAACAGTCATCCATTTATCTATTCGATATCTTGGCTCATCGCTTTAACAAGGGCCTAGTGGCTCGGATTATGGATGCACACATGCGCGCGCACACACACACATACAGGCACATTTTCTTTCATTACATCGACCCAGCCAGGTACGGAGGAGAGCGATTGGTTGTTCATGTTTGTACACGTGCGCTCGCACGTTCTCAAGTGACTTACAGTTTTGAAGCCATGGACTGCATATACTGGATGCGCGTTGTTCGTGACTATCCGCTTCACTGGAATTCAATGCTGATGATACGGAAATTTACTCGCACCTACAACACATGATGCACATCCATCACGGCAGTGATCGGCTCTCCGTGTAGGAATAATCAAACAACAAGTTGAATCGATACTCATATGGGATCACATCGCAGTTGCCTCGTCCAGAAAATAAGTATCTTCACTCAGAAGCGAGTGACCTAATAATGAATTTGGTTGAGGCTGGAATGTTACTTTCAGGCAATCGACGGATGGTTGCAGCTAGTTCTTTGAACCGATCGACAATCTGAAGTCCAAACGTGATCGATGGTGTTCGGCTGCAGACAGGAGCAAACCCCAACTCGGAATAGTTTGTTTCACTACACTACTTTATTCTCATGATGGGTCTACTTCTCATCAATAATGTCTTTCATTTTCCACAATAGAGCTTACTTGAGGAGATTTTTACCGGTAAAAGTGTAGATGTAACCCTTCTTATACAAAGGTTTGCTCTCTATGTTGAATTTAGAGGCGGTTCGGTAATTCCTTTGAAACTGTGTCATAGCTATATTTTTAATGGACGAATTGAATTATGATGGTCGAATTCCATGATCCGTGGGTGGCTTTACGATCCGTGAAACTCATTCATGAAATATGAATCGACACGCTAGTTTACTCAAGCTTCATGTATCAACCAGGTTAACGTATCCGTCACAGCGTGTTCATTCTTTAGTTTCACAGAACACTGGTTAAGTTCTGTTACATGTTAAAACCAGACAGTGATCGCAGCCGTCTATGACTCTTCCGTTTTATGTCGCAGTCGATGACAGGCATGCATTTAGTTTTATCTATTAGTATGCTGCACCTTACGCTCCACAAGTTTCCATCATTATTCGCTGCTTTGACCGTTGTTTGGTTCGAATGATTTCACGTTCTGTGTTTCATTCTGCATCGTTTCGGTTCTACGCTATCCTCCAAACGATCATCGGAGAAACTAAACAAACCAAACTATCACCATTATTTATTCGGTTCTCTCTCTTGCTTACCTGCTGGTTCCTGTCGAACTCCTCTAAGACTGCTGCTTTAGGGTTATTCAATGCCCCGATTACCTGAACTTTGATCACGTTCGGTTCGAAGCTGAGACCTCCCTGTCAGACAATATGACTTATACGATCTGTTTGCAGACACTGCAGCTCAGTTGGTTTCTGCATACCTGTTCCAATATGCTCGCTTCGGTCATAGGAACACCAGTTGAACACTCGGTCAACAAATCCACTTTTATCAGGATTTGTCTTGGTATTTTTCGTAAGCACACTGTATAGGTAGCCACTTTTCATTGCATAACGAACAACATTCTCGAATTCGTGGAGCTGAATTTAAAAAAGGAAATACAGAATAAAGTGTTCCCAATGGAGCGCATACATTTCATTTCTCATCATACGATGTGTATGGTGATCCAGTACCGACAAAGATTGTTGAACGCCTTTATATTTCCCTAAAATCTTCACGAAACGTTCACACGGTTTACCTTACTTAAGTAATATATTATGTTAGGCTGTAAGTGAATTGTTCTTACACTAAAATATTGTACTTGATGAAAGGTTATGCACGCACTTGTTGCCAAAGTCTGAATTTGATTAGATGTATTGATGACCACGTATGAATCTGTTCGAAATTACGACGGGGTGGACACAGCATTTTCTTCCTTCAATATAAAATGCACGTGAACATCCATCAATGCTCAGTTTCGATTGGTCAGGAATGACAATGACAGAAAGGCATCCGGATACGAATTTCTTAAGTTGTCAACGCGATAGACAAGCCATGGAGACTCATTTCAACATTTGGTGTAGCAACACCACCGAAATCTGCTTTGGGGCTAAATATCAATAATGATGGTGCCAATGATAACTGGTTACACTACTCAAATAGTAAGATGACCGAATCTCGGGGACTCATACTCAATCGGTTGAATAGTTGTATGTAGTTCAGAACACAACAGGTGGATATCACTTATAGATAGATGCATCTACTAATTTGACTCATTGTGATGACTGATTCACAATGATAATGATAAGTGATAATGAAACTGTTGATCGTTTTCCTCGTTTTTCATCACAAACTACCTTTCTTGGAAGGTTGAATTTCGCGAACTTGTTCACAATCGCTAATGTTAGTGAATAAATAACCTTTTATGAGAGCTTCTATTGTATGGGATTGTGCGTGTGTTTGTCTGTGTGTATGCATGGTAATTCACAGTTACGCTGTATAACTTGGTTACACGAGTCCAAGTTTCACCTGATTATCATCATCTCGCATCACATTTTTGTAGATATCGTTGTACTCAAATGACAAATAATCCACTCGTCGGTGTGGGTATTTGTCAAGATTTCACTTGAATACTATTTATTCGCCTTCTCTTTGTGTGTGTTAGTGCGTTCGTGCGTGAATCGCAATTTGATAGACCGCAGATTTGGTTAGACTATCTGTTTCCATGTGATTGTTCGATGCCTTGCGTCAAGATAGCTCAGATTCACCCCAAACCACTATGAGACAGGTTGAGGTTTTACCACTATCGATAATCAATAATTTCTGCTTATACGATCCCGCGTGTTCGATCACCTGACCACTAACGATCTAACCTTTCCACAAACGCCTCATTTAACTCGTTGTGATTGAATTTTTGTTTCAATCTAACTGGTTTACACAAGCCCTCATACATCTGCTGCGGTTTGCAAGCAACTTTACCATTTGTTTTGTATTATTTTTATACAAATCCGCGCATCCAATATCAGACGCGAATTACAATCCCCGTGCTGGATCCGTCTTGGGTCAGGAGGACGAAGAAGATCACA